CTATTACATTCGTACGTCCATTTTTAAATTCCTTACACCACCTGTATAAGCTGGTATAAATCATATGGCCTCCCCATAAACGGTTCATACCTCATTAAAAATCTCATGTGGAGATTTTTCCTTCGCAACAAGGTTAAGGATAAGGACATGGATTTCGCACAGTTTTTAACGTACTTAACTCGTTATAGTCTTGTTTTAAAATTTAGGAGTAAAACTATACGGTAGTGTAGTTAACGTGGTAAAAAAATATTCCCTATGGCCGTGAGAGCCTCAGTACACTTACTTTCTGGACACACCTCGTAAGATTACACTTATATTTGGCCGGTATACCCTTCAAAATAGTGACTGATTTTATAGTTTCAGATTATTGTTAGATAAACAAATTATTAATCCCAGAATTTCTAGATGGGCCTTTTCTTACAAAATTATAATTGTTGATGCTCAAAGTASGTGCCAAGAAATTTTAATTTTGGAATCGAATACATTCGAACAAATATTAGTGATCTAACAAAACATAGATAACGCGCGACATAGTTAAAATTCGGGATAGTTTACAAGTAAAAGAACATAAATATTTTAAATTACGAGAAAGACTTCTTTATAAGAAATAGTATGGGAAATTATTATTTTATGTACCGCAATATAATGAAAAACAACGAAGTTGTTATGACGAAATGGCTTATGTCGGATTCAATAACGTTGTTGAGAACGTGAAACGAGTCTATAGGTTCCCTAATATGAAAACTAAAATCCGTAATAATTTATTTAGTTGTTTAAAATGTATTGAATATTCCCCTATGGCAGGTAAATGAGAGGGATATCTGCACAGTCTACCGAAAGGTGATCGTCCATTTCTATTATTACATGTAGATCATTTAGGACCGTTCGAAAAGACAGAAAACAATAATAAATTTATTTAAGTAATAATTGACGGGTTTACGAAATTTGTACGTTATTATCCGTGCAAAACAACTAAGACGGAAGATGTAATTAAATATGTGAAGGAAAATGTTCGTACTTATTCTAAACCGACACGTCTTGTTTCTGATCGTGGAACTGTATTTTACTTCGATCGATTTCAAAATATTTCTGACTCKCAAGTCTGTCGAACAAATATTAATTGTTACCGGTACACCTGGTCAGATGGAAGTAGTAAATCGTTAAATTACACCGATGATAGTGAAAATAGTGGAGTATTCCGATGAGTGAGACCAAGTATTGTCTATATATATCACAGTCATGAAATAAGTCGAAGTCAGTCGATCGAACGATATGACGTTGAATGTACATCCCGACGCGAATTTTTGTAAGCAAAAACAATAAAATGTATAGTATTGTATAGTATTATTTATTTAAATTATTCGAGTACATAATATAACGATCAGTAAGTGTGCCAAAATTATATAGTACTCAATAAATAATAATATTCATATTTAAAATGTTTCTACTTTTACAAAATTTCAGAAGGGCTCCAGGGGCCCTGGATCGTGTATGGAACTCTTAAATCTTCTTCAATTTGAACTTTGACGTCAGATTGGTTATGATAAGGATAAAGATATTTGTTATCATAAATATTTTGTCGATATTTATGTTATTTTGATTCTCTTCTTTATGCAACTAATTTTCTATTCCGATTTAAAAAGTAATTAACGATTATTTGAATGACACACGTTATAAGTGCGATTAAACCGATAAATCGAAAAGCTAATACGCTGCCTAAATGGCTGAATGTATAACCGGCTAATGTTGCACCCAATGAACATCCTGCGAAAGAAATACATGGGATATTAATAAATTATTGTCAATATAATATTATAAATGATTCGTTTATGTGTCTTCGCTCGTTCATTATTTCTAACAGTTTTTGAAAATATTATTTTTTACTTAATTCATGGTATGAAGTCATTTCAAAAATATTTAAATAAAGTCATAATAATAATAATATTTAATATTTTTTTAAATCGCTTGAAAAAAAATTATTTTTTTAAAAATGGTATCGTTATCATTTTCAAGTTTTTAACACTTTTTTCGGAATGACAACATACTTGATTAATTTCATTCGTTATAAGTCACAACTTTTCAAAATAATGAATGAAAGATACTGAATCACCGTAGATGTATAGGTAATTAGAACTCGAATTCAGTATGAATTATAAAGTGACGAACCAAATCCTTGAAACGCCATCGAAAATAACCCTTGGACTGTTCCTTCACTGCCGACAGGGGCAATTTTCGCAGAATATGATATGCCAGCAATGTAGCTCAAGCCATACGTGATACCATTTAACAACTCAACAGGCAATACCCACAATGGGTCTCGAATGATCGAGTATAAGAGAAATCGCAATGCGAACATTGCGAATGATATCGAAAAAGCCGTCATATGACCGGTACGCTTGATCAGGTAGCCTGAAATTTAAAACCATGAAAATAAAACCGTGTCTTTAAGTTTTTTTTTTTACATACTTTATGTTCATCAATATATATAACTTCGGAAACACAATATTTTATTAATTAATAAATTAAATTCAATTTTAATACCGTATTTCCTATACTTTGAGATCAATAATCCCCATGGATTACATTCTTCAAGTGTATTAGGTGTTTATTATTCTTTTCCCTCAGCTCCAGATTGTTTAAGGTATAGTTTAAGTTCAATATTTGTTGCTGCTCTTTTCAATACCAAATATGTCAAAAGTATTGGTAATGATAAGAAATTTTTTAAGTTGGTTGAAGAGATAAATGAATTAGAAAATATTGGTATAAATTTGTCAGGAAAAACCATTAACATTACATTTGTATTGGGATTAGTTGTTGGTGATAATCTTGGTATAAATTCAATTTTAGGGTTTTCGAGGTCATTTTCATCCATATATTTTTGTTGATTTTGTGTAAATGATAAAAAAAAAAAACTCAAACAATAGCTACTGAAGATCATAATATTCACTTCGAAATAGAGTAAATTATAATAAGCATGCAAATAAAAATGATTCGAAACAATCTGGAATCTCTGAAAATTCAATATTTAATTCAATAAATTCTTTTCACGTTGTAGACAATTTTTCTGTTGATATTATGCACGATATATTTGAAGGAATTGYTGTTTATAATATGTGTCATTTAATTACTAACTTTATAAGATTAAAGTATTTTACTTTAGAAACATAAAATATCAGAAAAAAAATTTTCAATTATGGAGAATCTTAAATAGGCATTATTTGTCCTTCTCTGAAGTTTATTAAATCAAACCACTTGAAAATTAAGATGTGTTCTAGAGAAATGCAGTCTTTTGTCACTTTCCGCTTTTGGTAGGACGTTTAGTTCCATAAAATGATCAATATTGGTTATTTTTAATTAATTTTGTTGAGCTAATTGACTTATTGTTACTTTCTAGATTTAATGATTCAGACCTTTCAAAATTAAACAYATGTATTGCATATCAATATATCATAATTATAAATATATAGAACTATTTAATGATACATTAAAGCCTAAGCACCATTTATTAACCCATTACTGTAATATTGTAAGAAAATTTGGACCATTAAAATTTTTTTGGTCTTATCGATTTGAATCAAAACATAAACTGTAAAAATATAACTTCACGTGTAAATTTTCCAGTT